CAGAGGAGGGTTAGGATGAACTTTCTGAACCTTCTGGACCTTCTGGATATCAGCAGGTTCTTCCCCAGAGGGTGGTGGGGGTCCACATCCACCCACTGCCCTTCCCACTCTCCCCACAGCTTCACACAGCAGAGGAAGAGCCACCATGTGGGCTCCAGCATGGGAAAAAAACCACCAGATTTTGCTCCCTTTTTATCAAAAAACAAACAAACAAAAACAAATAAAAAACAACCCCCCCCCCAAAAAAAAACCAAAACACCAAAAAATCCCAAACAAACCAACTCAAAAGGCCCTCTATGAACACCAAAGCCAGCAGCAGGTGGCTCCAATGACCTCCAATTCTCAGCCAGGAGAAAAATCATCCAGATGAGAATGGAAACTGATTTTTCCTCCTTGCAGTCCCTTTTCCACGAGGGAACAGTCACTGGCTGGCAGCAGGCGCAGCCTTTACGTGACAGCAGTGGCTGATCCATGAACGTGCTCTCCATGGCAAGTAATAAACCAGACTGTTATTTGATTTTAGCAGAGTTACCAGGAAAAAATACACCACAAAGATGAGGGTAATGATCATTAAGGCTCTGTGCATCCTGTTCTTCTCCCTGGATGGATCTGTGGGAGCACGGGGCTGGTGAAAAGCTATCCCACTTTAAAAAATGATAATTCCTTTAAATAATCTTTTTAGGAGAGGGGTAATAGAGTTGAAAAGATGCTGTTAATCACCATTACAACTATCGGTGCCACCTGTAAAGCAACGGAAGGACTGAAATAAGCTCAGGAGGCAGCACTGGAAGTTGCACCGAGGTTTTTTTCCAGCTCAGCTGCTCCGCTCTCCCAGGAAACGGCTGCATCCCAGTGCCTGGAAGTGATCCTTGTGCACGGCCTGCACATCTATTTATAAAGCACCGTGGGATCCTTCAGGATGAAAGGAGCTATTCTAACCCGCGTTCATTTCCCAAAAACGCAGCCACAAACTTTCTCACGCTGCTCCGCCCAGGACGAGGCTGAGAAATCTCATTTTTGTGGACACCCTCTGTGCCAGCGGGGCACGGGGTGGGCCCGGCTGGCAGCACCAGCCCCTTGCCAGGGATGTTCACCCCGGGCAGCGCCGATCTGCGGCAGCAGGGGATGGAGCGGTGCCCCTTGGCAGCCGGTGGGAAGAGGCAGCAGCTCCGGGCCGGGATTCCCGGCGGGATTAACACCCGGCGCTGCCGACATTCCCGGGCTGACACACAGAGCCCATGACTGTGAGACATGTCAGGAAATACTGCTCGGGATTAGAGCTGTCTGCCCGCTGGCCATGAGGATTTTCCTGCCCCTTTCCCGGCCAGGCCGGTGCCTGGCACAGAGCACAGGGCAGGGGACACAGCGCTGGACTCAGCCGGACCTCAGGGACAAACCAGAGTGTCCTGGGTGTCCACCTCAATGAGTGACCCCCACCCAGCGAGGGTTTAGCACAGGAACACTAAACCCACACCAAATCCCCCAGCACTGACCCCTCACTCTGCTTTTCAGTTTCAGGATTTTTCCACCTGAAACTGGAAAGTGGATGCTGATTCATTGCCCACCAGATGATGCCAAATGTACTTCTCCAAGTCACAGTCACAAAAACCACCACTCACAAATACAGAAATGTCCAGGCCCTGAAATAATTGGCTTTTTAAGGGATGGAGCCCAGCTGACAGGTGAAACCACAGATCCCAAACCAGGAAAAACCCAAGGCACAGGCTGGGGCAAAGGGACCTGGTTTTAAGGCCAGCACTGCTGTCCCTGGCTGTCCCTGGCTGGGGCAGGGGACACAGCGCTGTCCCTGGACTCATCAAGGGACAAACCAGCGTGTCCTGGGTGTCCACCTCAATCAGTGACCCCCACCCAGTGAGGGTTTAGCACAAGAACACTAAACCCACGCCAAATCCCCCAGCACTGACCCCTCACTCTGCTTTTCCCAACACAAGGATTTTTCCACTTGAAACTGGAAACTGGATGCTGATTCATTGCCCACCAGATGATGCCAAATGCACTTCCCCGAGTCACAGTCACAAAAACCACCACTCACAAACACAGACATGTCCAGGCCCTGAAATAATTGGCTTTTAAAGGGATGGAGCCCAGCTGACAGGTGAAACCACAGATCCCAAACCAGGAAAAACCCAAGGCTGGGGCAAAGGGTTTAAGGCCTGGTTTTAGGGCCAGCACTGCTGTCCCTGGCTGGCAGGTCACAGAGGGGTGACAAGGTAAGGCCCTGGAGCAGGAGGAGGCTCTTCCAGCCTGGCACAGCCCCCTGAGCCCTGTGTGTGCCACCTCCCAGAGCCCTTCTCTCTGCTGGCATCCACACATAACCCAAATCCCCCCGCTCTGCCAGCAGAGAGGAGGCATCTGTGTGACAAGATTATGGAGATTGGCCCCATTAGCATAAGCAGCTCCTGGGCTGGCCCTAATCCAGAGGGACAGATGCAGCCCATGCTGCTGGCCCTAAGGAACTGTGGCAGCTGGGGGACACCATTGTCACCCATGTCCCTGTGTCAGGGGGGGCACTGTGAGCCAGCAGGGAGCCACAGAGACCCCAGCTCAGCCCAGCCCCTGCAGCGGGCTGGCCACACTGGGGCAGGGGCTGGGGACAATCAGGGGGTGGCAGTGACCCTGCCCCACCAGCACAGCCCTGGATGAGGGGACAGTCTGAGAGGTGGCAGTGAGCACACACCTGGATGAGGGGTTTGGGGACAATCCGAGGGGTGGCAGTGACCCCACCCCACCAGAACAGTCTTGGGTCGTGGTCTGGGGACAATCAAGGGGTGACAGTGAGGGATTTGGGGACAATCAAGGGGTGGCAGTGACCCCACCCCGACAGTGCAGCCCTGGATGAGGGATTTGAGGACAATCCGAGGTGGCAGTGACCCCATCCCACCAGAACAGTCTTGGATGAGGGGTTTGGGGACAATCAAGGGGTGGCAGTGACCCCACCCCGGCAGCGCAGCCCTGGGTGAGGGTTTGGGGACAATCCGAGGTGGCAGTGACCTCACTCCACCAGAACAGTCTTGGGTCGTGGTTTGGGGACAATCCGAGGGGTGGCAGTGACCCCAGCCCAGCAGTGCAGCCCTGGATGAGGGTTTGGGGACAATCAAGGGGTGGCAGTGAGGGATTTGGGGACAATCAAGGGGTGGCAGCGACCCCAGGCCAGTAGTGCAGGCCTGGATGAGGGTTTGGGGACAATCAAGGGGTGGCAGTGAGGGATTTGGGGACAAACAAGGGGTGGCAGTGACCCCGCCCCATCAGAACAGTTTTGGGTCGTGGTTTGGGGACAATCAAGGGGTGGCAGTGAGGGATTTGGGACAATCAAGGGGTGGCAGTGACCCTGCCCCACCAGAACAGTTTTGGGTCGTGGTTTGGGGACAATCAAGGGGTGGCAGTGAGGGATTTGGGACAATCAAGGGGTGGCAGTGACCCCACCCCAGCTCCCACCCCGCACAGGAGCAGCGGGGCTGGCAGGGCTTTACCGGGGCTTTACTCGGTAATATTCGCTTGAATATTTGCACAAAGCCGATCACAAACCGGGCATTTCTCACACCAGCATCTGCGTTATTTCATTCCGTGCCCTGTAACGACACCGGAGCCCCCGCGCCGCTCCCGCCCCGCGGCCCCGGGCGCAGCGGGACCCGGCGGGGCCCGGGGGCCACCTCGTGGCGGCTCCGGCGATGAGCTCCGAGCCGGGCAGGGAGCCCCCGACACCCTGGAACGGGGACCTGGCTCCCCTTCATCCCCTCTGCACCATAGATTGGATCATTTTGGGGAAATTCTCCCTAATTCTGCATCACCGATGCTCTGCTGCTCAGGTTTGCTGTAAGGGGCACAGGAATTAAATTTTTATTTAAATGAAATATTTATGGTCACGCTGGGCCTTCTCTTGCCGTGGTTATTTCTTTAATAAATTCTTTATTTCTTAATAAATTCACACCGAAGGGCTCATTGCTTCCCAGTGGCCCCAGCAGAAGATTGTCATTGTAATTACCTTGTGAAAGGTGAAGTGATGGACAGAAACATCTGTCCCCATGACATGAATTTTAGAGCAGAAAGCTTAAGTTTATCAGCAAGCACAACTTGAAACAGAGCAAGGGCAAACTCCCTGCAAGCATCAGATTTACCTCAGAAATTAGGGTAAATTAAAAGGTGCTGAGGAGGCTTGGTGACAGGAAAAGAGGGAATGGTTTTAAATTAAAAGATGGGATGTTTATATTGGATATTGGGAAGAAATTCTTCCCTGTGAGAGTGGGGAGGCCCTGGCACAGAGCAGCTGTGGCTGCCCCATCCCTGGGAGTGTCCAAGGCCAGGCTGGAGCCACCTGGGATAGGAAAAGCTGTCCCTGCCATGGCAGGGGTGGAACTGGATGAGCTTTAAAGTCATCCAGCCCAAACCCTGCCACGATTCTGTGATTAATTGAAGCGGTTTCCTGACCCCCCAGCCTGCAGGCAGAGGGAAGTGGGGCTCTGCTGCTCCAGCCCCAGGAGCCAGCCCAGCCCTGGCCTCGGGTGAGCCACCAAGGAGGACTCCATGGGAAAGCCAGGACCCGAGGCTCCCAAACTGTGCCTCCTCTGGGCTGCTGTTTATCTTTGAAATAGCTGAAGGCTCGGGTTACAAAGCAAATATGAATGAAACGAAAGGAAACGGAGCAACGAAATGGGTCAGTCATTTTCCTTTGACCAGATTCCTCAGCGGAGGAAAAAAAACTTGGCTTTTAAAAGGCTCCTTTCCTCAGACGTGCTGAGACCAGCCCGAGCAAGGGGACGCCAAAGCTGGGAAAACCCCACAGAGCAGCAGCTTTGATCTGTTCTTGCAGGGTCTGTAGGATTTAACTCCCACCCCCAAAAACCTCTTGCTGGCTGGGGTGAAGGGTGCAGGATCTGGGAGATGCTGCAAGGCCCAGATTGAATCCGTCCTCCAAGTGGGAAATGTGGTGGTGTTCACAGGGGTCCCAGGACGAGGGAAGAGATGGGAATCTTGACTCCATGTTTCAGAAGGCTGATTTATTATTTTATGATACACACTAAAAGAAAATGATATATTATAACTATACTAAAAGAATAGAAGAAAGGATTTCACCAGAAGGCTTGAAAGGAATAGAAAGGAATGATAATAAAATCTTGTGACTGCTCACAGCTTTGACAGGGGTGGCTGTCATTGGTCACCAAGTAAAAACAATTTCACACGCTGGGTAAACAATTCTCTAAATCACATTTCAAAGCAGCAAAACATGGAGAAGCTGAAGAAGCTTCTCAGGAGAAAAGATCTTAATGAAAGGATTTTTCATAAAATATGTCCGTGACAGGGAAATCTCACAGCCAACGCTCAGCCAGGAGCGGGGGAAGGCTCTGCTGCTCTCCAGGTTTCTCAGGGAAACTCAGGACTCAGTGAGAGGCACGGGGAGCTCGACAAGAGTTTTATTTATAAAGCTGCCAGCGCCTGGTGTAGGTTTACTCACTCTCCCATCTGGTGACTGTCACTGCCACCTCCTGACAGACGCTCAGTCTCTTGCTGCTAATGACGTACTTTGATTAGCTGGATGTGCTGCTTCACCCAGCTATTGATCAGCCACTGCCTGTGTAAAACTGGGAGCAGTTTGCTTGGCTTGATTAAAAAACCCGAGAGGATTTTATTGATCTCAGAAGGTGCTGAGGTGGCAGAGGTGGAGCAGATGGCTCCTGCTGCGGGGTGGCCTTGCCTGCGTGTGGGGACACTCAGAGGCCGCAGCGTGCCCTTCCCTGTCCTGCTCTTCACTGCCCTGTCCCTTTTTAGGACCTGGATTCTTCTTTCTTGTGGTGGCAGCTGCTTGTGGAGGACACGGTGTAGATCCTGTGCACCATGATGTTCCTTCATCCCTTCCCCAGGGCGCACTCCCTGCCTTTTGTGGGACAGCTGGGCGACAGGGATGGACATCAAAAAACACCTATGTCAAAAAACACGTGTTCTTTACTTAGAAAACAGGGATTATCAGTGTGCCCTTTATATCCATAAATGAAATACCTTGATTTCCTGTGGCACTCTAGCAGCAGGAATGCTCACTGTGTTTTAGTGGAAGTCAGGCAGCTCAAGGTTGCACCTGGGTGTGGATTTCTTCTCTTTTAGCCTCATCTTTGTTGGATTCTGGGATGAACACGGACATAGGAGTTAATTTGTTATCATCAGGACATGGCTGATGATATCAGGCTGACATCAAGCTTTTCTCTTTTTGGACTTGCTTCCCATCTCCTAACACTCTCTGTGCTGTGGTGTTGGTTACACCTCTTGCCTTCCCGGGCAGGAGAAGTGGCTGTAGATGGAGTGATGGTGGATGAGGTGTTGGGCAGCAGCAGTCAGCCACCCTCAGAGCAGCCCTTTGTCACCTCAGGGTGCTCTTGGGGCAGCGAGATGTCAGGCACGGGTGGGAAGCTGTTACTGGTTGAATAATGCAATAACAGAAGGGTGGAAGCTGTTACTGGTTGAATTGTGCAGTCATAGAATGGTTTGGGTCGGAGGGGACATTAAAGATCATCCCATTCCACCCGTGCCATGGGCAGGGACACCTTCACTATCCCAGCTTGCTCCAACCTGGCCTGGGACACTTCCAGGGATGGGGCATCCACAGCTTCTCTGGGCACCCTGTGCCAGGGCCACCCCAACCTCACAGGGAAGATTTTTTCCCTTAATATCCAGCCTAAACCTTCTCTCTTCCAACCTGACTCCATTCCCCCCTGTCCTGTCGCTCCAAGCTTTTCCCCACATCCTTTCCTGTTCTCACCGGAGGGTCACCGGGAGCACCGCGACCTGTTGCCATCCCACCGCCGGCTCCAGGGCACCGGGGACACCGGCGGCGGCGGGGCCGGGGGTCTCGGTACCCCTGGGGGTCCAACATGCCCCGGCTCCCCTCGGGCAGCGGCGGGGCCGGGGGTCTCCGGGGCCCCTCGGGCAGCGGCGGGGCCGGTCCGGCGGGCGCAGGCTCAGCCCCGGGGCCGCCCCGCCCCGTCCCTCCCCCGGCGGCGGCCGGGGCGCTGACATCAGAGCCGGGCCGGCGGGAGGAGGAGGAGGAGGACGAGGAGGAGGAGGAGCCGCCGCCGCACCGGAGCCATCGCTCTTGTCGGGGCCGGGGCGCACCGGCGGGGGGCGGCGGCGGCGGCGCTGCTGCTTCACCCCCCGCACCCCCGGCCCATCCCGCACGGCCCGCGGGGCTCCTCCGCCCTCCCTCCCGCTCGGTGGAGCCTTCCCGGAGCCCTCCCCGAGCCCGCCCGGAGCCCGCCCGGTGCCCGCCATGCTCTCCGGGGCGCCGCCGCCGCCCGCCGGCTTCCCCAGCCCGGCCCCGCCGCCGCAGCCGCCGCCGCCGCCGCCGCCCGCCGCTCCCCCGCACGGGCCGCCGCCGTTCCCGGGCAAGGGCGGCCTGCAGATCCGGAAGAATGCCATCACGGACGACTACAAGGTCACCACGCAAGTGCTGGGGCTCGGCATCAACGGGAAAGTTTTGGAGATCTTCAGTAAGAAGAGCGGCGAGAAGTTCGCGCTCAAGGTGCGCGGGGAGCGGGCACCGGGAGCGGCACCGGGAGCGGGGGGGACGCGGGGACCGCGCGGGCGCTCGGCCGGGAGGGGCCGGGCGGCGGCAGCGGCGCTGTGACAGTGATGGAAGGTGGCTGCTGCCGGGGGAAGGGGGTCCCGCCGGGGCCATGGGCGGCAGCGGGGCCGGCCGGACAATGAGCTGCCGCCCGCCCCTCCGGCCGCGCTTTAATCTCGGTTTTTCCCCTTCTTTACGAGCAGCGAGACGCGGCTTTCCTGCTTTGTAGCTGGAAATGACATCTTCGTAGCCCGAAGGGGCTGGTGGGGGTAGGAATGGAGAGGAGACCGTGGCCTGGCTGGGATCCCCCCCTGTGGGATGCGCATCTTGGGATGCATCCCCGAGGTGGGGGACACTCCGCGGAACGTGGGGTTCCCTCCGTGCTGTGTGGTGTCAGCACCCCCGGCTGCTCGCTGTCCCCGTTCCGTGTCCCCTCCCGGCTCTAACACCCCGCTTCCCACCGCGGATATTTCAGCGTTACGATGTTACCCCCTTGTCCCTAACTTGCTTCTCTTTGACAGGCGTGGATAAACAGCGGCTACGAGGTGTGTTTGAGCCCGCTCTAGGTGACGGGGCCCCTCTCCTTGTTTTAAAACGAGGTTTTTGAGCAAAGAGGAGAGCGTGTCTCCCTCTTTGGGATGGCTCCTGGCACGCCGGGTGAGGCGGGAGCAAGGCTGGCTGCTCGGTGGGAGCGCCGTGTTCTCCAGCATCCGTGCAATTTGCGCCCACACATGAGCTGTTCCAATCCTTGGCGTTACCCCGAGAACTGGGAGGGCTAAAAACACCCCACCTAAACCCATAACCCTCACCTAAATCTCTAACTCCCACCTGAACCCATAACCTCACTTCTTTTGTGTTTAGAGTTGCCCCTTTGTTGGTGTCTGGGGTTCCTAACATGGGTGAGGGAACAAATGTGGGGCTTTGGGGGTACAAGTTGTGCTGCAGAGGTGGTGGGGTGCTCAAGGTACGGTCTGAATGTCTGTGGTTAAGGAATTAGGGTCAGTTAGGTGCTAGAAGTTTGGATTTTCCTTCAGAAATGCCAAAGACGCCGCTTGTGAGGCGCCCTGCGTTGTACTCTGGGGTGACATTGTGTTGTCATCTCATTGGGTTGAAAATTAGCGAAATCCTCTTCTGTTTTGACAGACGGGCTCCTCCTCGCCTCTGAAGTTGAGTCACATATTTAAAGCACAGATCCCAGCACTTCCCTCTCGCAGCCCTGAAAGAGGAAGGATGGAGGAGGAGGAGGCTGGAGCTTCCTCTGCCCGCCCTGCCTGGGGCACGGGACTGGTGCTGTCACCCTGCCCGTGCCACAGCACGGGGTCAGGGTTGGTGGCACGGTGCCACACGGGTCCCCTGGCTTGTTGAAAACCTCCTGGAGTGCAGGGCTGGGGTGTAGGAGGGTGACACAGCGTGGCTCATGCGGGGCGAGGAATATTCGACACTCAGTCTCTTGTAGGAAGAGGGATTGTCTTGCCTGTCCCCTGTCCTGGCCTCTCCTGGCGTCCCTGACGGGGAGGGACGAGTTCAGCTGAGTGGTTGGACGTGTCCCTGGCTTCTCAAAGAGCAGCACAGCTGCTACTGTAAGTGATTCCCTCCAGCACCTCCCAAACTGCTGCGCTGGGAGTTTGGGCTCTGGGACGGACCCAGGGGTGCCCGTCCTGCCCTCATGATGGGAGATACCCTGGCTTGCTCCATTGGGATGTTTGGGCTGAGCTGCAGAGCCCAAGCTTGGTGTGGGTGACTGCCCCAGACATGATGTGTGCTGACTCCGTTCCCTCCTCGGTACGCAGCCGGGCTGACGTCTCTGCTCGAGACCTGTGGGGAGGTATTTGGGTCCAAATTACTCATGGGCTGCAGCAGAGTGGAAAGATGACCTAAAGCAGGATCCACAGAAGTGATTGCATCGAGTTGTCATGTTTCAGATGATGCTTAAAAGAATCCTGATGGCCCATGGCCAGGAGCCACAGCTGAAATCTGTCTGCTGCCTGCTTTGGTTGTGCAGTGAACCTTTCCATTTGGAGTGTCATTCTTTAGGTTTGCTGTTCCAAAATCTTGTATAACAATGCAATCCTTCACTGGAGGATGAGACACAGTTGTGTCCCTCCCTGATGTGAATGGGGTTTTCTGGTCATGTTGTGCTTCCTCTTGGGTCACAAGCCACTGTTGTGTTGTTAAAGCTCTTCCTCCCAAATCAAGAGGTGGTTTTGGTAAAGGTTTTGCTGAGAGTCACTTTGCTGAAGAGAACTTTTCAGTGCTCCAAGAGAGTTTGAGCTTGGGGAAAGTGTTCTAGCAGCAGTGAAAACATAAGGGCCAATTTTCTTCTCCTTCCAGAGCAATAGTCCATGGCAGAGACACATCATTAAATAAAACGCTGCTCTGTGAGAGTTAATAAATGGTAGTTCTGCTTGCTGTGTAGCACCTGGGTGAAAACAAGAGATTCCTCTACTTTTCCTATAGATTCTTGTTCATCTTTCTGTTTCCCACCCCCAATTTTATTGTATTTTTTTGGTACCTGAAGCCTGGCATCCCTGAATTACCTGGTGTGAAGCAGCCAGGGATGGTCCCAGTCACCCGTGCCCTGACCCTGTTTGAAGCAGGATGATCTGCTGCAGGCTGGGAACAGAAAGCCTGGGGAGAGGTGATGAATGGAGCTGAAATGCCTGGTTCCTTACCCCTTTCTTCCTTGTGCCTTGGTGTGATTTATTAGTAGGCAAAATTAGGCTTGTAATTTCTGTGGAGGCTGCTGTATGTAGGTCACTGCTGGCCTGGCTTGGCAGGGTTGGCTGTGGTCAGGCTGCAGTGGTGGGGCTGGGAGCAAGGGCTCTTTGCCTGCTGCAAATTCCACTTTTAAGACTAATCTTTGGGCTGGCTGCCTTAATTCCAGGAGGAAATGGCAGCTGAGCCAGGCTGGAGAGTGGGGACTGGTGTTCCAGGTGATGAGTTTTTGGAGTTTTTCTCTGCTGTGTTCATTGCATGATGGAGCCCTTTGCGGAGCAGGTTTCCTTTAAAATAAATGAACAAACCTCGCTGCTGACTTCACCTTCCAAGCAGGAGATCCTCCCCTGGACTGGTGAGCTTTGGAAGGGCTGGAGGAGCTCAGGGCTGTGGAGGCTGCTGGTGGATGTTTTTCTGCAGCATCCTTGGTGCTTCGGGGCGTGTTTGCGAAACTCTGCCTCGCTCTTGGCCTCATCTGATAACCCATGAGTGATGGTTCCCCTGATGGAGAAGGAGGAAGGAGGATGGTGCTTGTGGTTTGCTGTTCTGGGAAGGTGCCTGGTGTGGAATTAGGGCAGGCAGCTCGGAGCTGATGGCTGAGTGAGTGCATGAGTGAGTTGGTGTAGCCAGAGCACCCCGTGGCCCTCCAAAAATCCATCTGGGAAAACAGCCCTGAAGTGAGGGAGTAGATGGAGATCCTGGGCTTGTGCTCATGGGGAACAGCTTGCTGTGTCTGCTGTTCTTCTGTCCCTCTCTCCGTGATGTTTTTTAATTAGCTCTGCCATGTATTTTATGTAATCAGAAATGTCTTCACTGTGGCTTTCTGTGTGAGATGTGGTTGAAAAGCTGTGGAAACTGCAGTGACATCACTGGGACTTTTCCAAAGCTGTGGTTTATTATCTCATTGACCAAAGGAGTCTACTGAGTTGGGGTTTGAATTTGTTTAAACCATTTAGGATTTGCCATAATCTCTGTTAAACACTTCACATGTTCTGAGCAGTCAGACTGTGATGGGCTGATAAGGCCCAGGAGCAGGGGTTTTCTCTTGGTACGTGCTCAGGAAGTGGTGGGGCTCTTCCTCTCATTAATGATCTAATGCCATCAGCCATGGGTCTTGCAAAAGACGTTTCCCATGTTTTCAGGGGCGGGGAACTGAGGTGCAGTGATTTACACCAGGCTGAGGAGCTGAGCTGGATGAGAGCACAGCCCCTGGATGTGTGATTTAATAGCCAAATACCACCAGGTAAAACCATGGTTTTGCCATTCACACTGAGCCCTGCTGGCCTTTGGCAAGATTAGTGCTGTCTGTGCCATCACTTCCACACACAGAGCAGGAAAACCTCAGTTCCAGGGCAGTGCTGGTTCGTGGGGCTGTGGAGGTGATGGCTGTGCCTTGAGCAGTGAGTGATGCAGAGCAGAGGCTGGGCTTGGCCATGCTCTGAAAGAACCAAAACCATGTGTAAATAATGCCAGAAATGAAATAATGCCAGAAATGAAATAATACCTGAAATAATACCTGAAATAATACCTGAAATAATACCTGAAATAATAAATGAAGTTTGCAGC